TCCATCAACCACCACCCTCTGGGTCTGACCACAAAGCCAATTCCCCAGCCAGCAGATCGTGGTGGACCCGAGGCCACAGTTGGCCAGTTTTGCCAAGAGGTGATCAAGGGATACCAGATCAAAGGCTTTTTTGAAGTCAAGATATATGACATCAATCTCTGCTCCCTTGTCCAGGTGATAGGTCACCTGGTCATAGAAGGAGATAAGATTGGTCAAGCAAGACCTACCTGCAAGAAACCCGTGCTGGCTAGCCCTCAGGAAGTTGCCATTGGCCAGTCTGTTGAGAATGGCCTCTTTAATAATCTTTTCTAAGACCTTCCCCGGGATAGAGGTCAGGCTGATGGGCCTGTAGTTTGCCAGATCCACTTTCCTCCCTTTCTTGAAGATAGGCACCACATTGGCTCTTCACACCCAATAAATATTTTAGACATTGTACTGTCCTTCACGATTTCATATCCCAGCAAATTTATATGCCTGAAATATCAATGATTTTCAGGTAGCTTTAAGCACACGAACTTCAGGGTTCTAGACACCCATGAGTACACAAAGGATTTACATGCAATTCTTAACACACAAAAATTGACCCATAAAAATGCATACTGTCAAGTGCAAAACATACAACAGTGAATTCTACATCATGATTCTGAATGAGGATGTAAAATTTGAAGTTTTCATGGTCTCTATGTTAATGAATGTGCTAAGTCAGGTACCTGTTTTCTCTTAACACATCTGACTGACCAGCTGTTTGGTCAGAATATCTTCATCCTTCCACAAGAGAAGGATACACACAGGCATGGAAGTAAGTCTCTGAAATGTCATTCATCATGGATCACTTTTTTCTTTTATTTTCTGAGCTTCCCTTCTGTTTTCTCCTTTAAATTCCATCATTCCCAAGATACTGTTGCCATCTACCATTCTCCAAACTCAGGAGATCTAGATTCAGCTCTGTCTAGGGCTTGTCAGTCCAGGGGGGAAAATTGCCCAGTAAAGCAAGAAGCTTATAAATCTAGATGTAATGCAAAAGAGTATCCTCGGGTAGTGCACAGTACTTAACTACTAGGTTAATGGGTTGGCCCCCAACAAACATATTTAGCTTATTTTGCTTAACTATAAACCTGCAATACAATTGATCAAATATGACCGAAATACGCCATTCCTGTTGGTGTGGCCAAGATCAAACTATTTTTCAGTAGAAATAATTAATTTCTTAGAAGAGATGGTGCTGAGCCATGTAGTTGCATAGGAAGGCAAGTCAGTCTAACTCAGAATTTCCAACTATGCTTAAATATGGATTTTTGCTACCTTAGTTTGAAAACTTTTGCAAGCCTGTACTTTCTGCTCAGGCTGCAGAGAGAGCCACCTGGCCAAAAGCTTTCTATGGGCAGAAAAGCCAGCAAGATACAGAGCCTGAGGTTGCTATGTCATAAGCAGAAGATGTGGATATGTAATAAGTGGTCATGATCACTGAGTTTGTACTTGTAGACATTTTCTCCAGCTTCTGAGATGAACTTCTGAGAATTCACTCACTAAAATACTGGCAAATAAGTGAACAAATTCTTCAATATATAAGGAATCTGCATGGGCATACATCTCATGATACAAGATGCAAGTAACTTCACTGTTCCTTCGCCATTGGTGACATCTTGGCTAAAGAACTCTTTTGTATTTATATTCTTCTCTATATAGGCAATACTTTGCTGTGTGAGAAATGCTAGTAACTCAGTGACAGCTGCTAAAAAGAAGACATTTACTGAGCAGATATTATTGTACTCTTACTCATTCATATAAAGCATAAACTGTTAACAGCAAGATAATTCTTGAAAACAATGAGGTGCCTTAATCAACTTACAATCACTTCCAGTTTTCCCTGCACATCATGTGACTTGATAACCCAATTGACAGACTTTTTACACTTGAGGATAAGTATGAGGTCCCTGACAAGCTTGGCCTCTGGTTGAGATGGTCTAATGTCAATGATTATATCCACCTGGAAAGCACTGTATGTGGAAAATAAAGACAAAGTAAGATCAGAATGCCAGAAATTTTCAGCTATCAACCTTCTTCCAATCCATCATGTTTCCAGTGTCTGGCCAGCTGATTAAAATGCTGGAGATTATCCCAGACAACACAACACGTGCAAAACAGATTGTTATTCCACACATGCTAAAATGAGTCTACAAAACAATAGAAACAAATATTTTTTAGACTAGTAAATATCATTCAGTTTTTTTCTTTTATTTACAGAAAGTTTGTTACTTATTCTAGCTGCTGGTTGAATAGGATTCAACTAAAGCACTAGCAGTTTGCTTTGTACGATAAGTACTTTTTCTTATTTCATCATGACAATATATAGACATACCAACAGGAAACCAAAATAGCTGTGTCCACACTGAAGAACAAAATACCCTTTCATGCCTAAAAAAATTAAGGAAGGCAGCTTCAGCAACAGGGAACAGTATTAAAAATATATTTTGAGAGTATATCTGCCGGTGCAGTTAAACTATGGAAATTATTTTTGCTTAGAATTTTGCACATGCTGTAAAATTATTACACTGTCGTGTTTAGTTTCCAATGCTTCTGGATATATAGTTATTTTAAAAAGAAAAGAAAACAGATGTCCAGCCTACTGATTGCTGGAAAATTGATGAACAGAGTCCAGATTTTTAGGAGCTCAGTAAAATAAGTAGAGCAAATGGATTTACACCCAGCAATAACATCTCATGCACAATGTAAATTCAATAGAAAAATCTCCACATCCAGCATGATTCTACTGTTATAGATAATAAAAATGTGTTTGGTTGCCAAATAATGGGTTTAGCTAAAATTATGGAGTTTGATTAAATATGCCTTCATCTTATCTTCTTTACTTACCCATTAGTTTCTGTTGGTTTTAAATGGTTCAATGGACATGCACTTTGTGCAGGAAACTGCTCCTTTAATAAGGACATTTGGACATACAATAAGACTGAAGCAGGCATTGACTTAGAATGCTTTCTCCCTTTTATCTTAAATTTTACTAGCAGAATATCTTAACTAAGAACATTTGGCAATTCGAAAAAAAACTCCCATTATGTACTTTCAGCCAAAATCAAGACTCAGGAGTTCAGTCCAGGCAGAGGACTGTTACTGGTATCTCTGCAGGGGACTAGTGGTGAGGATGGACCATATAGGACAATATAGACTATTCTTCAAGGCAGTAGCTGAAGCAGTCTTCTACAGATCCCACTCATGTCATGCAGCAGCTGAATTTTGTTTCAATCATTCCCTGCCCCTATCATGCCCCAGCCTTCCTTAAACTTTCCAGGCATTGTCATGTAAGGAACAAATCTGCAGAGCTCAGTTCCAGCATTGTGCCCTGGGATGTAACCCCTTTCCTCCCCCAAATCCAGGTTCTTTGTACAATGGGGCCGTTCCAATTTTACTGCTCAGTGGCTGGATTTGTCCCTAATGGAATTGACATAACTAAATTGGAACAAAAATGGGTAACCTTTAGAGAGCTGCATGGGTTTTTGGTAAGTAAATGCTAGCTTATTTTCATTCTAAGGAATATGCATTTCCTTGTACCGGTGGGAAAGTATTTAAGTTGCTTAAGTCAGGCTAACGGTGAAATACAGATTTTATGAACAACAACAATATTTAGTGCTTATCTAGGGTTTGCATGTGAGATTTTCTAAAATAGCCTTCATTCACCTAATTCTGCTTCCCTTGAAGTCTTCTAAGGGTGTTCTGCCACTGAATTTGATGGGAAGACCAAAAGCTTTTGCAAAATCTCACTGTATGTAAATCTTCATAGTACTATACAATTATTACTTAAGTCAAGTAACTTCTACTGCTATATTAATCAGGACATCAAAGCATAAGGATATTATATGATTTGTTCTAGATGGTGGTGGTCAGGTTTTGGGCTCCATGGGCCGGGTGAGTAGCATGGGGTCAGTCCACAGGCTGGATCAGGCCCCGCATTGCCTCCCCTTGGCTCTGCATCTAGATCTGGCCCCATATCACCTCCACCCACCACGTGTATTCATACTGGGCCCTGCATGCTGGGACTGGACGCTACATGCCCAATCTAGTGTACAGGGCTGCACTATCCAGCCCATAGGGCTCCCTGTGGGTCTGGAAATTTGGCACCCATCACCAAATTTGACCCTTGATGGTCAGAACCCATGGAAACTGGACATGCTTATACAGGAAATAACAGCAGCATCCAGTCCTAATATCCTTTGTGGCCTAAACATCTGAAATATACCTAATTTAAACATAAAGAATCAAACTCTATAATTACTTCATATGATGAGTTAGCTGTCTTATTGACTTAATTTCTGACAAACAGCAGGATTTTATTAACTCTAGTGTCTAATCCATAAAATATTACTTTATTCAATTAGAAAATACTTTACCTGTATGGATTGGAATTTGGAGTGATTAATTCAATAATATGAATCTCTCTTTCTTGGCCTGTATTAGACAAAAGGCATCCTTCTGCCATTTTTGGCTGAAGATAGCCCGCAAGGTAGTTAAGAGAGAGAAAGTTCTTTTCAATATTACATGTGGGAGGAAACACTTGATCTGGAGGGGAAAAAAAACAAAAGAAAACACACACATGTACACATATATACAAATACATAGATAAGTGCACTTTCCATTTAAATACAGTAGTATGCTTAAGAACATAGTACAAGAAGGGACTGCCAGGATCAGTGAGTTCAGTCGCCAGAGACTACAGGCAGCCATCTAATATACATTTGTCCATAAAGGTCCACAAGAACAACCGCTTTGGCTTCTTCTGCACATTACAGTAACAAAGCACCTCTAATAGCCCTCTACCAAGATTCAGATCTTTAGGGGAAAAACCCAAAATATAACTCAGAAAGGACAAGAGACACAAGGGTGCTACCAATACCTTGTGGCTCTGTAATGATCTGGAATTATTCAAATAAAATCTGCCCAGATAATCCTAGAAAGTGAACACAACTCCTACTACAAAAGAATGAAAAAAAAAAATGGTCCTTGCCAATTCAATGCTGGCAAAAAATTACTTCTTCCTGGTAAAGATTCCTGATTCATGGTGATGGGAATCCTATATCATATGTATGGATGATAAAATCAATATAATCTTTAAAAATGAAGGTCAGGATTTTAAGAATGCAAGTTGTTTCTGAAGTAAAATATGCAAATGATTTTAAATTCATACAATTTCCATTTGCTGATTGAGTTTTTCATAATAGAAAACCCAGAAAAGAAACACTTGGAAGCAGGTGCACTGGAATGTGAAGTATAGTGAACTTCAAGGGAATACAGTATTGATAATCTGTGGCCTGTTCTTTCAAAAAGATTTTCTCTTCTGAATCTAACAGAAAACTTTTAAAAGAGCTACCATCAGAGCAATATTTTCCTTCCCTCTGAAAATGTGCTCTCTCTCATCACTAGTAACACCTAAGATTATTATTAGTCAATGAAATCAGAGAAAATATTTTCAGTTCTCATATTCTGTGCACTTGGCTACACTCTGTGTAGTTAGCTCCAGTGTTTCCTATACATGCACTCCATTTCCTCTATGAGTGGGGACTTTCTTACAGCAAAAAGGGGAAAACATTTTTAAATATGGAAACTGTGTTTATAAAACACAAACATGGAGGAGGTGATTCTAGGGCAGATTTGGTAAATAGAATTACTTTCAGTGATGATCACTTGGGTCTGTGATACAAGACAGAAGCAATTGTCAGCAGGATGAAATTCTTAAATTAGTTCTATAAAACTTCACCACTCCTACTATCAGTTTTTCCATTTGGAAATAATAATACCCTGCATGTCTATGAGACCCTTCATTCAAACGACACAAAGATGTTTTACCATATGAATTAATCCTCGATATACCCAGTGAGATATGGGCAAAGTGTGGCATAAAAGAACCAAGTGCTATATCCAAGATCATACATGAAGTCTATAGCAAAGATAGAATTAAACTCCTGGTTCATAGCTCTTTGCTTTAATCAAAAGGCTGCTTTCCACAATCAGGATACAAGATAACCAACAAATGAAGCAAATGCGGGGCATTGTACAAGCTAAATTGTAGGCAGGCAAATAGAAACTAAACTGAAACTACTTTTAACATCTGGTTCTCTAAACCAAACTGCTTTTGGTTTGGTACCCAATTTCTTGCAGAGACTGGACATTCCTTCAGTTCCTAGGTATTGTGTGAACAGCTAAAGGAGCCTCCTTATCCTCATTCTACACACAATGGCCTTTGAATATTAACTTTACTTTCTTCTCTAGAGAAACCTTCTCTGAAAACTATATGAGGCTATAACTTTTTCAGCTGCCCAAAAAAGCACTCCCCTAACATCTGTTATGTGCCCTGCCAGATGAGCCCTGAATATAGCTGCAATTCTGCCAACTCCTCCCACATAGCAGAGGATGGAAAATGATTCTGAGCTGATCCATACTGAATTCAAATTTATCCATACATACAGATAATAGATATTTAATTATCAGCAGCAGCTCTGCAATACATTTCGTGCCACAGAAGAACTGACTGAATATGTTGTGGATGATCTCCACATGTGCTGTCATTAGCCATTGCAAAAGATTTGATTCCTGTTCCAAGCATCTTATTTAACAGTCTGGAATTCTCAAATCAGCCTGTTGCTCTTGCTGCCATCAGCACAGAGGCTCCCCATACAGGGCCTCTTCTCAATAGTACACTTCCCCTCTGCTGCTTATTTTAACTCCATTTCACTGGTTGTCCAACACATACGTGCAGTTTCTTCTTTTTCCTCCTAGTAAATGCTGTTTACCCTTGCCACAGTTAATAAACAAACCCCTGATTGTAATGGAAGTAAAAAAGAGCCCCATGCTATCTGTTGTTGATGATTACTTTTTAGTTTGGGGCTATTTATTTGCTTAAGAGGTTCAGTGCAGCATTGTAACAATCTATTTAATGGATTAAAAAGTTACTAACTAGTTGGCTGATGGCCTCTCTATTTTCCTCTAATCTCCAAACAACAGTACTGTACTATAGAATTTACTGTGAAGTATCAGGGAATAATACAAGGTCATGTGTGTCTGGTCAGAATACAGGGATGTCTTGGAGCAGCATTTACCACAGAGTACCTACCAGAGCACTACATCGCAGCTGGCAACTTTCTTCATCTTCAGTGTTTGCCAGGTTGCTTGGATGAAGACTGAATATGGTATAGTGGGACCTGTAGTTTCTGTGCGCAGCACCTCCATTTTAAAGATGAGGACAGATGCCTTCTGCTCCACTCTGCACAAATTAGGTGTTACCCTCAGCTTTCTGGCCAATGTGGCTCCTAAATTGGACAGTTTGAGCATACCAGCTCAAACAAAATACTCCTGGTATTAGGAGACTTTTTATGAATACCAGAGCCATTAATCAGTTATCACCTTGCCATGATAAACTGCTATTGCCAAGTACTTCTAATTCAGCAATAAAAATTCCATCCAACTGGAACTTGTATTTCAGTCTAAGGTTAGGAGGAGAGAAAAAAGTTAGGGATTTCAGACTAGGAGCAAGCTGAGGAGTCTTTCTTTAACTCAGGGGTTTTGTTTTATTTTGCAGGCTGCTAGTTCCAAGTATTAGCGAGAGCTCAGAGTCTCAGTTTTGCCAAGGGAAATTTAAAATTACTGTGAAAATACTGGTCAGCTTGTACAATTTTCTGTGTAAGGAGAATGAAGGGAAGCTGGGAGGGGTTTTCACATGGCCAAGTGAAGTGAAGTCGTGGCAGCTCAAACACAGAAAAAGGTAAATGTGATACCAAGTAATAATCCCCAGCTACTAAAACTCAATGGAAAATTCTGGGGATTTTAATCAGAGAAAGACTTGGTATTAATTCAGTGAAATATATAAAGCAATAACACTGGAAACCGTGAGATACGGCACAATTCTCTACCTCAAATCCCCCACCTGCCTTCCCCAAATGACAAAAATAACTAAAAGACAAGTGCCCCAGCATTTATGAAATTATTTCTCAAAGGATTTCTGGACTTAAAACCACCAGCTACAATAATTAAGTAGTCTGACAAACAGTTTCTACACTAACAATATTCAACATGCCATTTTTTTAAACCATGCTAACCACCCCTGGAGCTAGGGTCAGAAGTTTCAGCTTCAACACCAGCATTGTTCGATATTACCTTTCACCTAGCAGCAAACTTTTGCAGGATAGGGAATTAAAGTGACTTTTACTATTGTGTGGTGCTGGTTGAGGTGTGTCGAGATTACAGGAAGGTGCTACACAAATCCTCTGCAGTTTGGTAACGCTAATCACAGTCCACTTTATTCATATACATCTTACCATTCATTTCTGGTCCTCTCTTCATTTTCTAAAGCTATTTCAAATGCATTCCCTTGGCCCGAGCCCTCATTCCAGTCCGTTTAAACTCTCACTGTGCCAGTCTAATCTAGTCCCACTATATCCTTGCTGAATGGAATTCCCAACATTTGTATGTTCCTAGCCCTAATTTCTAGACGTCCAATCCTTGACTCAGCAACTAGGCCTTTCTCGCTTCACAAGTGTGTTGGCTTAGTTCTGCATGTCACAAAGGACCTAGACCTAAAAAAGATCTTTCTTCTTCAGATGCTTGTTTTTCTTCTGTGGCCTCAATTTTCAGATCAAATGTATTCAGTTAAGCCCTGCACCTCCAAAGCATCAAGCTCTTCCTATTTCAGTTTCTGCCAACATAAGTAAAACTGAGCAGTAGCTTACCACATGAACAGGCCTAGTGAAATCAGTTTGACTTAAGTAGCAAGTCAATATCAATAAGAGTGACAAAAATTGGCCACCTATGAAGTGTTGAGCACTACCAAATCAAACTGGTGGCACTAGAAACTGAGGATGTCCATCTCTTTCCAGGAGCCAACAGCACCTTGCAGGATATGATGATGGGTCCAATCTTACTCATTAAAAGACTGAAATCTCTAAACCAGTATAAGTTGCTTTTTTTTTTTATTTCAAATTCATTTAGTTTCTTGAGTGGTTTTTTTGATCATGCTTTGCAATAGGGAGACTGTTTCTAATGGGTCTTCTCAGGGGGATCACAGAATCATAGAAAATTAGGCTTAGAAGGGACCTCAGGAGGTCATCCAGTCCAACCCCTTGCTCAAAGCAGGAACATCCCCAACTAGATCATCCCAGCCATCGCTTTATCTAGCCAAGTCTTAACAACCTCCAAGGAGGGAGACCCTACAACCTCTCTGGGTAACTTGTTGCAATGCTTTTCTACCCTCCTAGTAAGAAAGTTCTTCCTCATACCTAACCTAAACTTTCCTTGCTGCTGCTTGAGACCATAGCTCCTTGTTCTGTCATTTGTCACCAGTGAGAACAGCCCAGCTCCATCTTCTTTGGAACCAGCTTTCAGGTAGTTGAAGGTTGCTATTAGATCTTCCCCTCAGTCTTCTCCAAAGTAAATAAGCCCAGTTACCTCAGCCTCTTCTCAAGTCACGTGCCCCAGACCTCTATTTTCACTGCCCTCTGCCGGACTCTCTCCAATTTGTCCACATCTCTTCTATAGTGGAGGCCCACAAACTGGACACAGTACACCAGATGTGGCCTCACCAATGCTGAATAGAAAGGAATAAACATTTCCCTCAACTGCTGGCAACGCTCCTACTAATGCAGCCCAGCATGCCATTAGTCTTCTTCACAATAGGGCACACTCTTGACTCATATTCAGCTTATTGTCCACCGCAACCCCCCAAGTCCTTTTCTGCAGAGCTGCCAATTAGTCACTTGGTCCCCAGCCTGTACTGGACCTTTTGGTTACTGTGCTGCCTGCTCTGAAGAAAACTGATTATTCATTCCTCTGTTCATTTGAGCTCTCAAGCCTCCTATCTTGCAGGGAGTTAAAAGATAGTTTGAACCTAAGATCCAAGTCAGCTTACAGTTTTCAGCTTAAGCAAGAACTCTTGGAAAACATGTTTAACTTGGTTGCTTGCCAAGATCCATCTTGTCTGGATATTCTTAATTAAATTGTGCCTTACAACATTTTTAAATCTGTTGCAAATGTCTTAGATATTTAGCTTATCTGACTTGAGATTTGCTAATTAGCATACAAAATTCAATGCAATTTGAGGCCCCTAATTGTTCATCTATACAGAATATGGACAACTACCACCTTATATATGTTCCAAGAGCAGCAGTGAAGGCAGATTAGTTTAATACGCTAATAAATATATTTCTGAATGACTTTCTGGCATTAAAATCTTAGACTGGTGCCAAGTAGAACAGAAATCAAACAGGGAAATCCCCATAGAAATTTGGCAGGTTTTGGATAAACCCAAGACAACCATGTTCCGATTTTGGGGGGCAAACCTCTTGTTCAGGAAATACAGCGATCACATGCAGGTACCTAGACAGGAATATTTTCTCCATATAGCTTTTTTCCTTCTTCATTTTTATCTGCAAAAATTACCATGTGGGGTTTTACTTTTTTCCCCAGTTTTGCTGCTGCAAGACTGCTGAATTAAGCATCCACTGATTCTGCTAAATGCCATATACCTAAATACTTGCTGGTTTTTGCTAAAAGTTTCAACTGATCTTTACTCTTCCTAGACACTGAACTGTAAGGAGCTTTTTCTTGGACAACACTGTGAACCATTTTTACAACAGCTGGACACCATGGTGCTGTAAGCCTTCACTGACACTTTTTATCCCTATAATGTTTACCCTGTTTTTTGTACCAATATTGTTCTAAGACTGTAATTATGCCTTCAGGGCAGTGGCATAACTAGGGTGGGGGCAACCAGGGCAACTAACACAGGTGTCAATTTTGGGGGTAGAAAGGGAGGGCAAAAAAACAATTCCTGCTGGCAACCATACATTCATGCCAGTGGCACAGTGATAACCAGAAGTTGCCACTGCCCCCTTGCTCCAGGCCCCGGGCCACATTGCTACACTGCTGCTAAATGAAGACAAAAAGTTGTACAAAGAAAGATGAAGAATGTTCAGTCTTTTCTAATGCCAAAGACTGCATGGAAAATAAACTGCTACCCTCCACTCATCATTCAGATTCCTGAAGATTGGAGATTGCTCCCTCAAAACTCCTTGCCTTTTTGGTGAAAATGTAGAGCATTGTGGTCAGAAAGAGATTTTCCTTGGCCAACATTAAGAACTTCCTGATGAGCTGATATACATGTGCTTGAGTGTTTTGTGGGGCAGCAGCACAATAGCAGCCGTTTTGAAACTGACCAGACTCAGAGACTAGGGACAGACATTCAAAAGCTTGAGCCTGAATTGATTCAACCTTTGCCAGTTAGTCTAACCTTCCTAGGTTGAACTGATTTGCAAGTGCACAGACATTCCCTTTGGAGTGAGAAAAGTACATGCCTCCAGGCTAGAAGCTGGGGGGTGCTAGAGCAGCCTTCCCTTTCCTTCCAGAGTAATGAGCTGAGAGGGGGGCATGGCCAGGCCCGGCAGGATGCTCTGGTTAAGGAAGGGTTTAAACCCCCACCCTGCCTGTACAGTCCCAGGCTTTTCCCTGCTCGCTGCTCAAGGGATGGGAGTGTTGCCAGACCTCAGCCCCCAGCTAGCAATCTGAGGCAAAGAGGGGAGGGGGAAGGAGGACTGCTTGTGTGCAGTGCATGCATCTGTTGATGATACTGAGCTTTTCAATCTCCCTGCTTCTTCATACTGTCTGCAAACCAGACAGGTGAGGGAGCCAGCAGGGAGCTGAAAAACAGCATTTAGCAGCCCATCAAGAAAACAAAAGCCTCTCTCATTAGCTCAAGTTCATCTTAAACAGCTTTTTCCAAGGAAGGAACAGAGGGACATTGCCAGCTGACCTGTTGATTAGCTCCAAGGGGGAGGGGAAAACCCTGTGGCAGTCTCTGCTGAAGCTCCAGTTAGGGAGCAGAGGGGTGGGATCAGCCTGGCTCTGTAGAGCAAAGCATCTGGGATGCTGGGGGACTCTGATTTAACTTAAACCAGGAAGGGGTCTGGGACAGACATTTCATAAACCAGTTTGACCCAAATCAGTTAAGCCTGATACTAAATTCAACCATGTTTATCTTAAACCAGTTTCAGCCATTTTGAAACTGGTTTATGTGCACTGAACTTATGTTCTGTTACAAGTTAATAAAAGTTTCTGATCACTTAAACCAGATTGTGTGGAATGCCTGTCCCTAGCCAGAGTGTAGGGACTTTATCTAGAAGAAAGAAATAGTTCAACAACCTTCTAGCCTAGGCTGACTCCTTGGGGCCATAAAGCATAAACACATCCAAGCTTTCTTTTAAAAAAAGTTAAAAGGAAGAAAACTCTTTGTCCAAAGCAGAGTGGGTAGGAAAGGAGCCTTTCTAGCTTGTCTAAGATCTCCCCCAACTATGCAGTTGGTCTTACAAAATATATCATCCCTAAAATATCCTTGCTTCTAAGAAAAAAACCCTACTTTTCTGTTTTAGGATCAGTCTTTTAACTGAATAGTGCAGATGACTGGATAACCACTTGGTGCAACTTCTGATACATCTGATGCCTCTAAGATTCTTGCTAAAAATTTCAAATTTTGGTGTATAACATTAGATGCCAACATCTTTATACTAGCGTCAAAATACCTGGCCTGATTTTCAGGTTTGTTGTTCCCCTCCTCCAACATATCCATTAACCATGCTACTATCCTAAGGGACTGAAAGCTGAATTTCATGATTAACATGCAGTATGCAGAGTATGATTATTTTATATCTTACTATTTGGCCTATTGCTCTGTTTTGTAAAAAAATTACCTTCTCCCACTTTGATGTAAATGTTTCTTGATATTTTGAGTTCAGTGAAAGATGTGACTGCTCCATATTCCTTTTGGGCCCACTGTAACAGATGTTCATTTCCTTGAGGGAAAGGCTTTTCTTCTGTTTCTGCTGACAAGGAGAAATTTCCTTTCTCAAAGTGAACAATGGAACCTGCAGATACCTAATGGGAACAGAAATATATTTTTATTGTGACACATTTACCTGGTACAGAACTATATATTTTAAAAACATTTAATCTGCCATAAAGAAATATGTTCTTTGCAGGTGAATAAGGAGTATTTACTTTAATTTGCATGTTTTAAAATATTTAAAGGACATTTTTAAAAACTGTTCAGAAACCATGTAATCATTTTAAATAGCTACTAGTCTGAAAGAACATGAGGTCATGGGCTTCTGTGTTAGCCTATAGGTTCATTGATAATACCTCATTGGGTGAAAATACCCTTCTTTAGAAAGGGAAATCCTCTATTACTGCATTTTTTTTGACAGGATTGTGTGTCTGAATGCTTGAAATGTTTGGTCCAAAACTTAAGAGGAATGAGTCATGCATTTTTAGAGAAATGTTTATAAATATATTACACTATCTTAGTCTCAATGGGGAAAACTAAACACCTCACTCACTCTATTTACTATTTTAAATGCCATACAACACACCAATGAGGGAGACCCTGGGAATTTTCAAATCTATCAGCTACAGAAAACAGGTTGAAATGAAGAGGAAAAGTCCAATTCTGTTTAGCTCTACCAGTGAAAGTCAAAGCAACTCCAGCAGCTTTAATGTACTAATATTGATGTCAACCAGGCAGAGAGGGAATTAATGTCCAGATTCTCCTTTACATTGTAGTTTGTTGTGTGCTGCACTGGTGCTAAAAAGCAGCCCTAAATCCAGCATTATTAGTATAAGAAAGATCAATCCAGTGTAGGGGGATCCTCTGGTGGTATAGAACTGGCATAGCAACCCATCTACCCAGAGATGATGTATGAAACATGGCCAGCACTTCCTGCACTAAGCAATACCTGGCTGTTGTCCAGGTACCCTGGGGTCACTGACAGTGAGCATCCATACACCATTCTAACTTGCATGTTAAAACTGAATTGGAACATAGCTAGCTCAGCTTTCAGGGAGCAGAAGGCAGTTGCTTATCATTAAGCTTCACTGTATGCTCCTTGAATGCAGTTTAGGAGCTTGTCTTGCTCACATGCTCTACCCATGTTGATCATCCAATCACAGTTTTCAGTCAAAACTATGACATCAGATCAAGTCAACTGTAAACTTAAAGATGGAAAGTAAGGGAAAATTGATAATTTTTCTTTCAAATTGTGATACCTCTGTGCAGAAAGGATTACATCATAGGAAATTTCCTCCTGTGGGAAAGCAGAGAAGTCTCTTATGTTGGAGCACAGCATAGCCCAGCAATGATGAGGCAAAACATATATTTAAGATTTTTCAGACAGTATATTTTCTGTGCCAAGATGACCAGTGCTTGCAAAGATACAATATGCAAGTCCTTAATATACCCCAGACAATTAAGTCAACAGGCTATTGGTCCAAATAATACATTTTGAATGAATTGGGAAACACTTAGCTGACTTCATCCAAAAGGATGTTGACATGTTTGATAATAACCTTGGATGAATTTCAGTGGATAAACTGTGCTGAATTTACATTTAAAGAGCTAGCTCCTGGCAATACAATACAGTTCCAAGCAAGGAGCAGCATGTTCTTGCTTTGCCCTTGTAGCAGCCTGGGAAGGAGATTGTGACTCCAGGAGTCTCAGTCTCCCTCCAAATCTGACTAGTTGAGGAAGAAGTAAAATGCAACAGTTTTTTATGGTGTGTGTATAACAGAAATGCTGCTAAGGATGTCCAAAGGGAAGAGACCTGTAGAGTCTCTTCCTCTCCTGCCTGCCTGGGTGGGGAGAGAGCCTACTCCTCTCTGGGCACCAAGCAAGGTAATGGGTAGTGTATTATGACTTTCATCCCCTTTCAACCACACACAAGATGGCAGCAAGAAAACAAATACCTGATCATTCATATTGCTGCAATATTAAAAGCTTTTGCTGCAACTCATATGGCACCCTTCATTAATGGAAGGCGGCAGTCTCTTTGAGCTGAGTCTAAAGCTACTAAAAGTTATAATCAGAGTAATGAAGAAATATATTTTTAACCTAACTGCATATTATCTATGCACATGCTGTTCCAGAACAAAGTTTATATCTGTCTAGATTTATAAACAGCAAAAGGCACCAAACTAAAAATTTATTCCCTTGAATGAACTAAGTCAGTTAACTTCACAAACATGAAACATCCACCACTGCAAACCAATGGCAACTAATTATTCACTTTCTTGGAACTATTGTTAACATTACTATTTTAGGACATTTCAAATCAGCCTACTAAGAATACATAAATGGTTATCAAAATGCAAATAAAAAACCTTGAAAAACCTCTTGCATCCTCAGATGCGTCATGTCCTTCCAGAATTCTTCCATGTGTACACTGATATTTTCTTAGTATTTTCAATAACTAATTATTACAAAGGCACACAGAACAGACCTTGAGCTCTTCTATTTTTAAGAGAAAAGCCTCTTGCATTTCCAAGTTTTCTTTGACCAAGCCTGTCACGGAAAACAGCTTAGCATTTCTTAATCCCATTGCCAGAATAGTTTTTAAAGTTTAGATTAACATCAGTTTCAACTCTGGGTGACAATTTTTGTTTGTTTCTGGTCATACAGCTATCACAGTACCTCGTTTTATGAAAATGTTTTATTTAGTATAACACAAGATGCATCATTTTAGCACACTTCTCAAGCAAGAAAATGCACTCTGAGAGTAAGAACACAGGATACCCCCTCCTCTCCCAACCCCCTTCCCCCACCAAATGGCCACACCTTAAATTTCAGAGAGGCTGAACACTAGTATCTCCCATTAAAGTTGGTCTACAACAGGATACCAAAGTCCTAGGTATCAACAAGCAGACATGACATCAGCACAGAACAGTAAAAGTTACTAAAGAGGCAATTCATTTTATAATGGAAATTTTGAAATTCTCCTGGAATTTGGGCCAAATTTAACTCCAGGTAAAACTCCATAAACTTTGAGTCATTTCTAGTAAGGATTAATTTGATCTGCCCCATCTCAAAGATGTAAAGAATTATGCAGACCTTTAGTCACAAGTAAATGAATTTCTGTAGTTGCTTCATATGAAGTTGAATACAAACCTGTTACAACAGAAAGCTATCAGAATCATTTTAAAGATTAGAATATCTTATGCAGAAGAAAAGGCAAAGAGCTCTTTTGGATACTGACGTTAGAAATATATTAAATGGTGTGAGCTTTCAGTAATACACTTCATTTTCCACTTAAGTTTCATATTGCTCAGTGTCTGTTGACTAAACAGGTATCCTCCTATTAATTCATTTGACTTCCAACATACTTGCTAATTAAAACTTGAAAACATTTTGCAGTATTCTGTGCCATGTCGAACATCTTCCTGTGAGAAAGCTCCTGACAATGAAATTGAACGATTCTGAATCTGAGTAGGAATGAAGAAAAGGACAGAATGGAAAAGAACTAGCAAGGTTGAGGGCCTAGAATGGAGTGTTAGTTTGTCTTAAAATCAATAACAAGCTTCTCATCACTTTAAGTACAAAAAAGTTTGTATTTGAAATCCTGGTATCACTACCACATTTTCACAAGCAGAGCAGGGCTCTGCAGTCTTTGCCAATGTTGAGATTTTTACTACAAGGATTTAAGGCTAGGTTAAGTGAGCCAAACACATTATTTTTCCTGGACTGGATTCAATGAACTCTTCCAAAAAGAGGCAACCATCAATTTGTTTCAACACCTGCCCTTGAACGTTAACTACTTACTCTTCAGAACAAATCTTTCTGAAAGCAGTTCATGCTTCAAAGGGCACAGGACATTCTGGTGCATTTGAATCAAAATGTGCATTTGTTTCCTCAGGAAGATATTTATAGTGTTTATCTAAGCTCTATACAACCAAACATCTGATCCCTGTCATGTAACATACTTATCTTCCTATTCCAGTTCCTTTTTTATTGTCTGGTTTCATAGCTATAGAATAGAAAACAAGTATTCCTGCACTGCTACTTAAAGTGAGGGAACTCTCAAGGTAGATATGCTAAGTTAGGGAAATCAGTTTGTGAACCCAAAAGAAACTGACGATGGTTACTAAGCCCTGTAGGGAAAGTGTCTCTAAAGGCCCATTCTGCAGTTAAAGTAAATGAAGAATCAGGCAATTGCATCCCATTCTATCAGAAACCATCTGAAAAACTGCCCCCAAAATATCAGTGCTGGGGCTCAAACAGAATTTCTACAGAAAACAAAAAGATACCTGAGAAAAAGAGTTTGCATGGTCACATGCCACTATCTGGAAATAGTGTATAGGTCTGAGCAGGGAACTTGCACCAAAATGGGGACTGCAGCATGTGTCCCTGATCATAAAAAAAAAAGCTTATATGTCTCTTACGAAAACCATCTGTCGTCACAGAAAATGTGCCCTTGTAATACTGCCAAAGTCCTTTTTCACTTGACTTAGTTGATGATTGAGTAGCAGATGGGCAAGTTACAGGTCCTCAGGGGTAACTCTGACTTGCATACCCAACTTGAAACAATTTAATAAATATTACTTTGATGAATAGAAACACTTCACATGCTCAAGATACTCCCTTCTGCTTTCTATTATGCCCATTGCTTATTTTCTGTCCTCTATGCCTCCATTTTCAAACATATCAATCTAATGCTTGAGTACACCACAATAGGCACCTGCAGTACACCAAAGACATCTGCCAAAACCCTTAAACTCTCTAGATCCACAAAGCCTACCAAAAAGCCAAGTGGGGCAGATGCATCAGTAAAAGAGAAGCAATGTCACTTTTCTACATAGAATATGGTATAATCAGACCTACTGTAGGAGGTGAATGGGTCCCTTTTGTGTCAGGCTCTAAATTTCAGTCACTGCCAGAACAGCCCACACACAGCGCTGAGGTTTGCTGATGCTCTCCAACAGTGTGCTTTGATGCACTTTCATCTCTTTACATAAACAAGGTAAAACCATAAACACAGCAATATCAGGGACTCTGAATCTAACATAAATATTTTCTTCCTTGTTCATAAACTTTAATTCATGATTCGCAA